GGGTCAGGATTTCCCCTTGCGAACCAACCTCGAGCTCGTTGCCGCTCTCAAGGCCTTAAATGGGTCCAATCTCGTTGAGTCACTTCCACTTGATAGATACAAGGCGTGGGTGCACAATGCGACATTACCATTGGGGGTAAGCACCACCATTTCATTTGAATGAATCGACGTATTCTAACGTACCTTCTATCACTTCTCCAAGTCACTTAAATTACGTCATATTTATTAGTTACAACGATGGTAATCACTGTGATTACATCGTCGGTTTACGTAAGCGTATCACGAAAACTAGATCGAGACGCCTTCAGTCAAATAATTCCTGTTCAAGCCTTCAATCTTTGACAAAATTTGGTGCTCACCGGTTTGTTATTTTCGTAAATTTTCAGAGCTTCACCACTCATTCCAGCTCACCAAGATCTGCCTTCAGATTTTCTGAGATTCGCTCTTAAGTGTCTTTGCTGATGTTTACCTGTGCCATTTCATCATGCAGAAAATATAGGCTGGAAGGAAATCATCATCTTCACCACCACCACCACCACTACCACAACAAACAGCGGATTAACACAAAAATTGAAGGTCATTTCTGAGTGGCTAGCCACGGTTTGAATTTCACGATTTTGTATTTTTGCAACTATTTCTACACATACTTCGCCTTTAGTTGATCGTTGTCTCTCGAGATCAGTTGACCTTCAGAACTTGAAAATAACAGCCACCCACTCACCAATAACTCAAGAATTAGTCGCGGGCCCACTGCAAATGTGCCACTCTGATGTACAAGCAACAGCAGACAATATGCACGTTGATTAAACTACGATGTCCTACCCTCGACTGACACTTGCTGGATTCGCTAGTTAATTCCACAATTATTTCGAACTCCACAAGACATTCTAACTGGAACTAGTGAATGCAAGAAATGGTAAAAATTTTACCTCAAAGAGGTTGCCAAAACCCGAGTTGATAATGTAACTAAGCAGCTACGAGTGAATTTCGGCCCGTTGGAAGTGGTAAGAGAAACACAGAGACGCACTTTTAGTCCCCCACTGTGACCAACTTAAGCAGGAGCGAATAAACACGGAGGCCAGGGGGGTCAGTAAACAAGGGAGCTGTCAGGGGAGACTGCATAATTTATGCCCGATTAGTGGGATGCCTATTGAGTTTGGATGGTGTGACGGCAAGATTGCATTATCTATAGGAATACTCAGGAGTCTGTGCAAATAGGTTGCGTGAGCTTCCAGGCAAGTCACTTGTTCAGTCATTTAGCAAGGCTGCACTGATTATGTGGAGGGAAATCGGCGTGAAAAACAGGCGGTGCAGTAATTTCTTTGGACGTGGAATAATTCATTTTTAACAGATCTTTCAAGCAAAGTAAATAAATGTGCCTGTTATCCGTTCCTAATTGAGTGTAAGTGTATGGTTTTACTGATAATTTTACTTATACATACCAGAGAAAAATATATCTAGAGAAACTGAATGGAAAATTGGCATAAAGGGTGTCAAAAACCAATAAATTTTGAACATGGTAAATGTAACCATTATTATTAAAGTAAAAATACAATTCTACAATTAACCACAGGAGCCACAGAGTTTCAACATCTTCGCGCAAACCGCTCGCCTACATATGAGAACATGCGTTTGACTGTTTTATCACCGATTCACAATCACCACGTTCGCTTAACGCTTTAGGCCACTTGGTACAAAGGTTCGATCTATGGTGCCTACCGAAGGGAATTTCTGCAGGAAGCAGTCCTGGAGACAGCTGTTGGTCCCATTCGTGACGTCATGGTCCAGCCAAGGAATATCATGCATCCCGACGAGTTTTACTTTCCAACTCTCGCTTACAACAGCCATCTTCGACTGCCTGGTGCTTGTCTCCATGGTCCGTCGCCCGCTTCTGAAGTGGGCTACAACTTCTTGGGCAAGTTTGTCATTTGGGGAGGCTATAAGGCTACCTGTCATACCAAGTTTGTTAGAGGTGTCTGCATACTTGGAATGGATCACGTGGCGTTGTTGCAGAGTGTGCCACACATTTCCGCCAACAAGTTCCACGCTGACTTTCAACCAGAGGCATATGATGCCATGGAGCAATGGTACTTCCAACGAGTCGCAGCGGAACTACAGTCAGGCTCGTATAACAGGAGCTCATTCGATCCCAACATTTATGCCAATCTCTCATGCTCCCGTCATCATTTGTAGATTTCTTGTTGTGGCATATTGCTCAAATCCTCTCTCTCCAATTGTTCATTTCCTCTCCTGTCACATTTTTTATGTCTGCACCCAACAGTTATAAAAAGCTTTGAATTTGTACCACTGTTATCCTCTTGGTTATGTATAAGGCCACTCGACCTGAGGCAGTGAGTGAATGTGATAAAAAAAGTCCAAGTTACAAATTACGAAATTGAGTGAAACCGAATGCAACAGTATCGCCAGATCACATACAGCTTCCTCCTGCTGCTCAATTGCATTAAAAACTACAGTCCTCAGTTTTTAGAAGACTGAATCATAAATATCGTATCACTCCCACAAAAGCGCTTTGTCTCTTGAGATGTGGTGAACTGATTAGCGAGAGTCACTTGTGCACATTCAATCAATGTCACATTGTTACTAATTGACTTCGATTTCTCCAGGGATAGATAAACCCCTTGCTAAGCTTACACGCAATTATCTATAGTTTTTCTCAGTAAATTCACATATCTTTTGCAGGCTGAGGCTGAATAAGTGCTGATGTGCCACTCCAGTACTGACCAGTCCCATGAAGGACTCTAGTGTGCCACTCCACCTCACACAATTAAGGCTTTAAAAATGCACATCGATGCTTTTCTCTGTTAACCTGCGAAATCCCATGCCTCTCGTTACCAACCAGACAAAACGTTTTTCAGCTCTAGCTTTTCAGCCCGTCAGGTCAGTGTGAGTGTGACTGTTAATGTGTGCACTGCTGCGCAGACACGAAGCCCAGAGCGCAAACAGTCGATCACCTTCGTTTAGCTTGTCCCCGCCTACCCTCACTAACACTTTCAAAAAGCACGTGTGAGTCAGCGACGCCCTACACCTAAACAAGATAACACAGGACCTCGTGCTGAGAGCTCTTGCTACTCCGCCCAAAGACAAATTCACGTTCACACGTGTCCACTTGGATGCTGTGTTGACGGTCAGGCGTGCGAGCAAGCGAACCACCAGACTCAGAGCTGAATGAGGCAGTAGGCAGGTGGGTGGCAGCTGGTATGAAAACAAATGATGGCTTGCATGATCGTGAATAGCAATGGGAAATATAATGTCCCGTGGTTGGTGAATCTCCAACAGTGTGTATGTGTGTATGATTACAGTGAGTGTGTTGTACAGTCATTAAACCGGAAGCAGCATATTTACTGTTTGCCCAAATGTAAATATCACCTACTAGAATACCTCCAAATAAAGCAACCATAATCAGTCTTCAGTGCAACCCGTCATGTCTCGCATGACACGCAACACATAATTTGCCGTCATGACCTACCGAACTCATTGAAGTAAGCCTTGACTCGCAGTTTTGTGTCCACGTCGGTTAAAAGTGACATTAAGAAGGCTGTTAATCTGCCCGGACATCTGCGTTTCCTTTCTGCTGGATTTTGTAGTGATTACAACGGACTCGATCTCCTGCATGCTTGACTTCAAATCGCCTTTTTGTCTTGTCTTCATTAATGTTTCCAATTGGCTTGGTCTGAGCAGATGCAAAAGGTATTGCGCAACTCGCATTATTCCTCAAAAACGCCTACGCGAATGTGGAGATATATAATCAAGGCGGGTGCAGAGAACTGGTGAAATTCGCCAATCACGAGCTCGGTTTTCAAATCCGATGGAGGCTGCGTCATCTGTTCACTTTTGGAGTCATTTTGGTATGTTATTCTGCCACTTGCTAATTATCATTACAAACTCTGCGGACAAATTCATCTTTGTGAAGGATAGTTACCTCGTCTGTTAGCCTCAACATGAGGTCGTGTTTAATCTGAGGTTTGCCAAATATGCTGTATTAAATAAACATCCCAATATCATACAAAAAGGAGGACCTCGTCAACATTTCCCCATTCGACCACGCAGGACATGCTAAGTGAATAGCTGCCAAATGGATACTTGTTTACTTGAAGTGCTGACGCTTTTGAGTTTATCCAACTCATGGAAAGGGAAGCTGGTATAGTTAAACCGTTGTTTACACATTCTTATCAACTGTCGATTGGCTAGTTATTTGCCATCAAACTGATTATACTTAAGTAGTCTGTAATGCAACACATCCCCTTCTCCTAACTGTTAACATTACATTACAAGCAAACCTCCACACTTTTAATACATGTAGTTCAAACATTATTCCATTTGGGACGTTTCGCTTCGTTGGGATACAGCACACATCAGACGAATACGTCAAATAAGGCAGGCGCAGTGAGCGCTTCTGTGTAACAGACCGACCAAGTAGTGAGCTCTCATTGATTCAAATTTAAAGCGGTTTAAGTAAAGCAGATACGTCAAGGAAAGACATAAAATCACCCATAGCTGATGCTCAAGGTCAAGCAGAGCAAAATCAGTGGGTAGCAATTTGTAACCTCAACGCCTACCATAAAAAAGTTTATTGGTTAGCTACTCACTACATTGAGTCTGCAATCAAACTCAATTTATGGGATTCAGGCGTGCTCATTTTACCGTTTCTTTTAGAGAAAAAAATTCGGCGCCGAAGGTTGAATCGATCTTGTGTCCGGCTTTTGCCACTCCTTCTGGTACTGGTAGTACTCTCTTACTTTCACTTACAGGAAGTCAACCACAGCGTGGTGTATCTAATACAATCAAATGTATCTGATGATTACTTTGCTGCTATCGATTCTCCAACGCACCCATTTTGCAGTCTATTCCGTCAACATTTCCAAGTTGAAGTTGATCCACATGTTGACATGGACATAGCTTTTACGTTGGTGGTTCACAAAGACATTCATCAGATTGCTCGACTCCTCAGAATGATTCATCGAAGGAACAACTACTACTGCATTCACGTCGACAAACGCGCCAGCAGGTCGTTCAAAATGGCTCTAGATGGAGTTGCAAAGTGTTTTGGCACAAACGTGGAATTGGTTCCCCTGGATGAGCGAATTGTCGTTAATTGGGGTGACGAATCAGTTCTGCTTCCACAGATCGTCTGTGCAAAACAGGCACTAAACCAACACTCAACATGGAAGTACTTGATCAATTTGGTGGGTCAGGATTTCCCCTTGCGAACCAACCTCGAGCTCGTTGCCGCTCTCAAGGCCTTAAATGGGTCCAATCTCGTTGAGT